GTGACTGCAGACACGGAAACGAGAATCCAGTTTGTTCCTCTGTCTCTGAAGCTGGCTTCAAAGCCCCATGTGCTTTCACAAAAAGGCCCTGGGGTGTGGGAACAGGCCTGAGCCCCCTAAGTGGCCTTTGTGCAAGAGACAGTGCCCATGTGTGAAACCAAAGCTCTTTGTAGAGACAGCCCTTCTCCACCAGCAGGGACCCCCACAGAACAGTTGTGTGTTCTGAGAAAGAGGATCACACGTTCACGCCCCCAAGATGGCTCTGTGGAAGAGGGATAGGGACTCATCAGTCCCAGATCAGGCCTACAGCCTCCTCTGTTATCAAGGGCTCAGGTGTTAAGCTATCAGGAAAAGCCCAAGACACACCCAGGACTCACTTTTGCTCTAGGGCCAAATTGTTCATTTATTAAGTGTCAGTAAATACAAAGCAAGTAGCAAAGAATTTCTTAGAAGAAAGTCCTCTTATTTGGGTTACCTGGTGGCATAAAAAATGCAGTGCCATGGGCACTCCCCATATCAACTCTGGCTCATCAGGTCTGGTTCACTCACGAGTCTGCCAGGTGATTCTGGTGGAGGTGATCCACGGACCACCTGATGATCACTGCTGTATCACCATTTGTGTTAGAACTCGAGGAGAGGGGTAAAATGAGCTAATGGATCTGTCTCCTAATTTAACTCTCCCAGTGACCCTTAAATCTTGGAACCAGGATCTTCCCTCAGTCCATTGGCCCAAGCCCTAGGATGCAGAGATGGAAATGTCGTTCTTGGAGAGGAAGATATTTCTAAATGAATCACCTGGTGTGAAACTAGTCTACAGGTAAAATATTTTTACAACCACAATTTTTTTTGTTACGTCTTGTATTTGTATTCAGGGGACACATTGCTAACTGGTGGATCATTTGTAAATGGAAATACATTCCTTTCCCCAACTCCAAAGTAGTTCCATATGTGTCCACAGTTTAAGAATCAGAGGAAGAAATATGAGTTTGGTACCAAAGGGTTTGAGTTCGGGGACGTCGGGTTAAATGTGGGCCCCTAAGCTGGCTGATAGAGAGGATTCAGAAGGTCTGTGAACTTGGATATGGGAAAAATGAAACTTTTCCCCTAACATCTAACTAACATTTACGTCTTCTTTCTATGAATATAGACAACCTGCCACACTAGTATGTATTAGCCAGACCTGTGACTCTGTCCATGGTGGAAATGACAGATATTTTTGTGTTACATGAGTGTTGTTGCAGACTCTCAAAATACCTTGTATGCTCATCTCCATTCTGAGATGAAGGTCATCATTAGACCTGCTAGCAGATTTTATTTAATACGTTATTAAAGAGGCACATGTATTACTAGTTCACAAGTTTGTTTTAATATTCAAAGAATTATATGTCAGTGTAATAGGTTCCCTTTGTAATCTTATATATTTTCTTTTATTTATTTTAAAATATTCTGAGAAGGAGGCTGTAGGCTTTGCCAGATTGCCGGAGAGGTGTGTGAGGGAAAAAAAAGGTTAGGGCAGGTCTTCATGGAAAAGAAGAGAAAGGTCAGCTCATTGCAGCACTGGTTTATTAATAATAACAAACCATTAATAGTAGCCTATGTAATTTAATAGTCTCTTGCTATGAGTTAGCCAGATTTTACAGGTGAGGAAACCAAAGACCCAGGTAAGCTGGCAAGTCTGACCCACTTAGAGGATGTGTTGCTACCATGCTGAGATGGCTGTAGGTGTGATTTCCTCTAAACTGTTCTCATTTCACTGAAACACAGAGTCTCCAATGATTTAAACAAAATGAAACAAAACAACTCTTCCATAAACCAGGATATGCTATGGCAGCCCTTAACCTTCAAACGCTCAGTATGCATCATCTTCTGTACAAGAAGCTGTATCGGTTATTTATTGTCACAGTAATGCTGCATAACAAACAGCCTCAAAACTGGTGGCTTAAATCACTAAGCATTTATTTCGCTCACAAATCTGCCCGTTGCCTGGGGTGGGGTGGGGGAGGGGTAGATCTTTCCGACTTAATTCGGGCCAGGATCACTGATGTGTCTTCACTCGATAAGCTATGTGTCATCTAGGCAGTTCCACTGAGTGCAGCTGTGCTGTCTCACATCCTAGGGCCACCGGCTGTTGGCTGATCTTGGCTGGGCTCACTCCTGTGTCTGCAGTCCCTTGTTTGGTCACATGAAGCTGGCTGGTCTAGGAAGGACTTGGCCAGGCAACTGTGCTCTGCTCCACATGGTCTCCCTTCCCCCAGCAGGATGGTCCAGTCTTGTTCAGATGCCCGCCGGGCAGGTTTGTAAGAGAGCGAATGGGGTACACAAGCCTCGGGAGGCCCAGTCTCAGAACTGCATGGCAGGAGTGAACTGTAGAGTCGTATTCTGTTCGCAAAAGCAAGGCACAGGCCAGCCCACATTCAAGGTGTGGGGAAAGACTGCCTCTCCTGTCTGCTCTCCCTCTCGCTTATAACCCTCCAGTAACTAGTGAAAGAAGCTGCAGTCTTCTTTCAGCTCCTTAACTATCATGATCACTTTCCTGGCTCAGTGAAACCAGTGAGAATTAGAGCTGATGGCCCCACACCATCTCAGTCAATATCAGATCTCTTCCGACCCGCAGAGGCTTTCTGGTTTCCAGAAGTTGAACGAGAGAAACTACCAGGGCTCCCCCTGCCTTTGTTGCCTCTCCAGGGTGTTCTGAGTTCTCTGGATTGCTAGTCCCGCTGACAAGGTATCGCTGCAGTGGGAGACCTTTTAGAGTTTGCTCGTTCATTCCCACCCGGCTCCGTACCTCCCTCGATCCCTTGAGTAAGGAGTGGCTCAGCCAAACAGAGGAATGTTCCATCCAGAACCATTTACATTAAAAAAAGTTTCTTTTGATCTGGATCTTTGTAAAGATAAGAGCACGATTTGTGAGGGATATTATGTGATGTCTTGGATTTCTTTAAATGCTCTAGCAAATACAAAGAAAGGAGGGCACTAAGGGAGGAAGGAAGGAGTAAAAGAAGGAAGAGGGGAAGGGAAGGGAGGGGAGGGGAGAAGAAGGGAAGGGAAGCAAATGAAACAAAGAAAGAGAGAAGAGAAAGGGAAAGAAAGAAGAAAAAAAAGTGGGCATATAAGTCAGATAGGAATGGCCAGGATATGACCACTGTTGAAGCTGAGTGATGGGTATGTGGAGGTTCATTATGCCATCCTCTCTACATTTATATAAATTTTTAAATCCCAAAATGAAAGAGTTAAAAAAGAAAAGAGTATTAGTGGAGATGACCTGAACCAATGCAGTAGTGTGGACACTGTCCTAAGCACTTAGCCTGGCAGTGTCCCACGGGCATGGGCGCTGCAGGGCCTTTGCACATGCTGCTCCCTCCTCCCGGTACACCCTTCCTCCCCTTCTTCCTGTAGATGATTCCTGCTCATCCTTCAGCTCTCAGCTCAATGTCACTTCCTCAGGGAAACCTTCCCTGCCCCTATCCCAGAGTAGACCAGAGCCTCCTGTAACACACTCTCCAGCATTTTGTGCTTAAGACCATCTCTTTTTGATAGTATGATTAGCATCTGTCACCAGTGTGGACTGCGAGCTTCATGAGCACTGGGCCTGTGTTTACTTTTGCTCAGCATCACCTAAGCCCAGTGCCTGACACGTGGAAACTGCTCCATGAGCTTTTATTGAATGAGGTTATTAAAGTCTTGTCAGCAATTGCTGTGTTTTTCCAAGATACAGGTTTCACAAGGATGAGTAAACCAAATAATTGATTTGGTCTTCATGGAACCAAATATTTGAAATTGGGGGTCATTAATTCATTCAACACACATCTGTTGAGTGTCTGTTATGTGTGAAGCCTATTAGAGGTGCTAGGGAAACAGCAGTGAACAAAACAGAGAAATAATCCCAATCCTGCAGAGTTTACAATTGTGTTGGCAGATGGTGCTAAGTGCCATGGAGAAGAACAAAGCAGGGAAGGGGCTGAGGGTGGGCTGGGGAGGCCTGGAGAAGGCGGTGTTTGAGCAAAGACCTAAGTGGTGTGGATCCAGGCAGACTTGCCTAGAGAACTGGAGGTGAACTGTCTGTCACCTCGTCTGGCCTCTTCTTTGACGCTTGGTCTCTGCCACGTGCTCCTGGGGGCTCACCCTGGACGGTCACTTCGTTGCGTTAAATCTGAAAGATGAACAACAGCAATTGTCGGCCTCTCAGTATTCTGCTTCTCATTGCTATGTGACAAATGACCTCCCAAACTCAGTGGCTTTAAACAATAATAACCAATTTATTACATCTCGTGATGTTGTGGGTCAGGAGTTCGAGTAGCACTTGGCAGGGTGATTCTTTCTTCCATGTGATATTGACGGAGACCACTTGGTGGTGTTCAGCTGGAGGATGGGCTGGTCTGTCGTGAGAAAGGAGCTATGAAAGATAGAGACGGGGGCAGTGTCGGGTGGTGAGGACGGGCAGGTGTCCAGAGTCTGGCCAGGTTTGGGTGCAGTGTCCTTGAGCCTGCACATCCACATACCTGCAGCCAAATCCAGCTCCTTACAAAGAATTTGAGACTCCACAGCTGCATGTGTCTGGGGAGGAGCCCAGGAGAGGAAGCAGTTAGGAACTTTCCTCTCCTCTCCTCTCCTCTCCTCTCCTCTCCTCTCCTCTCCTAAAACTGTGAGGCTGATAGCATCGTCCTGTGCTGGTACCCACCATGACCCACTTTTGAAGGAGGGCTCAGCAGGGCCTCAGCTGTCCCCTGTCATTGTTTAGGTTAGTTTGGGTGCAGTGGTATCTGAGTGCTGGCCAAGGCTGGGCGCATCCATCTTTGTGTCCCCTGGTGCTTAGACTGGTACTTGGACAATTGTGGTCAGCATCCCAAAGCAGTGGCTAATTTGTCTGACCATGTCAGGATGCATCGTGCTAGGATGGCATCGTGGGCAAAAGCCAGGGCTTGAGCGCTAGACACGCCCAGGGTCACATCCTAGCCTTGCCGATTACTAACCACGTGTTGCTGGGTGAGTTACTGATCTCTGAGGCTCAGCGCCTTCATCTGTAAAATGGAGTGAATTGCAGTATCTACCTGGCTCAAAGCTGGCAAGCAGGAGATGTTGGCTTAAAGGTCCCAAGGGGAGACTGTGTGTCCTGGACATTCAGGGCCTGGCAGGTCATTGGGGCATGAGAAGGTCTGCTGATGGCTGAACTGAGAGCATTCAGGGCTGGGCTCCCAGCCTCCTGAGATGAGTTCTGTGACTGATGCTCACAGAACTCTGTGCCACTCTGGACACCCTGGACACCCTGGGCTTTTTACCCCACTGATCTCAAATGGGCTCTTGCGATTGGCAGCCCCCTGGTGAGAAGTCTGTTGCAGGCTGACTTCTCTAGAAGCAGACTCTGAGAATCTGGGGGGTAAAATGTCTATTAGGGATCAACACCTGTGAAGGGAAGTGGGAGGAAACAGAATTGGGCAGAGGGAAGAGTCAAACCTAGACACAAGCCCGAGAAACCTCGCCAGCCTGACAGGAAGCTGTGGAGCAGACGCTGCCCAGCAGAGCAGCCTGGAAAGGCTAACGGACTCCACCCAGCCTCTCAGGTGCAGGAGACCTTGGGCCACATGGCTCTGGATAGGGCTGCTCCTTGCAGCAGAGGCGGGCCCAGAAGGAGCTGGCAGCTGGAGATTATGTGCTGACCACCTTCCCTACAAGTTATTTCACGAAGGGAGATCTGGTTGGTGCCTCTCCATTTGGCTACAGAGAATTTTTACTTAGCCTGTGTACCAAGTTTGAGTGTGGCAAGTATGTCAAGAGTGAAGAGGAACTAATTGCATTCTGGCTCCCCCAATTAAACGTTTACGCAGAGAAGATGAGCCCATATGAATGTGGCTTCGACCCTATAGTATCCGCCCACTTACCTTTTTCCATAAAGTTCTTTTTGATTGCTATTACATTTCTCCTATTTGACCTAGAAATCGCCCTCCTCTTACCCCTGCCCTGAGCAGCCCAAACAAATCACTTACACACCGTACTAACTATAGCACTTCTCCTTATCTCATTATTAGCGATTAGTCTCGCCTATGAATGAACCCAAAAAGGACTAGAATGAACTGAATATGATAATTAGTTTAAATAAAATTAATGATTTCGACTCATTAGATTGTGATTAAGTTCATAATTATCAAATGTCCATAGTGTACATAAGAGTCATGTGTAAAAATGAAAAAAAGTCATGTGAAAGTGCATGCCTTTCATAGGTTTTTGACATTGAAAGGGACATTAACTATTTGGGTTTTCTGTAGCAATAATACAGAACTGATTAGAGAAACACTCCCTGTCCCAAGAGGCTGCTGTGCACAGACCTAAAATGGAATGGGAGAGCCATATGGATGGGGTAGAAGAGACTTAAAGAAGCACAGGGCGTCCTGACTGTGATAATAATTCTAACGCCGTGGTATTTATTAATCACACGTGGTAAACAAGCAGTAACTATTTGTCAAATGAAGAGAGAGATTTCTTCTGAGCATCTGAAGTGTGTGAGGTGCGGGTGCTGGAAGCCATGATTTTTGCCCTTTTCTCAAAGTCACTTACAGCCCCTTGACCAGACCTCACTTTGAGATGAGCTGACCAGAGGGGAGGAGGCAAAGGAGCGGCTCCAGTGGAAAGAGGTCAGATCCACTGATGGACAGAGATCCTTGGGCACTGGGGCCAGGATTGGGTGGACGGTGCTTCTGCCTGTGCTTTGACCTGGACCCCATGGGAAGCTCCCAACCAATAAAGCCAACTCAGGATTGGAAAACCAAGCACACTTGCTCCAAAATTACAGCCACAAAACGTGTGTGCCAGCTTTTCATTTATTGAAGCAGAAAGACAGTTGGAGGTGTCCAAAGATTTCAGGCTTCATGGCAGCTTTGCTGTGTATTTAAGTCCATCATGGAGTCCCTCTGCGTATCCACTGCACTCTTCAGTGGTGATGGTCTCCAGGGAGGGGCGACGGGTCAAAGTGGAAGGAGCTCGCTGGAGCTCGTTGCTTCCTTGCACGGGACTGTGTAGCAGCTGCTATGGGTGGACGGAGGACGGTATAACCACATGCTTCTCACAGAGGTTGGTGGTGGCAGTCGGAGCCACTCATCAGGTCCTAAAGGAAGCCCTTGGAACTAGGTGTGATCACTGTGCATTAGGGTGCAGGGAAGGGTGTGTAGTTCCTGTGGTGTTCCCACATTTCTTTTCTTAAAAACCAGAGAGGAAAAAGTAGAGTTCCTCTCATTTTTCCCCCCAACTCATGTACATTGGCCAAAGCCTTGTTTACGTCTGAACTTGCACTAAATCTCCATCATAGTGTCCCTTAAGTAACTGAAGGCTGGAGTAGATTTGACAAACACAGTCATGGCTCACCCCTGCCTCCCTCCATCCCTCCCCCCATCCTCGGCTTCACTGGGGCCCCCCTGACAAATAGTACCAGGAGCACAGTATCAAATGGGCAGGGGATGGAAAAGCCTAACTCAGTTGAGTTCTTCCACTTCACTGCACAGTGTTATTTAGGTTTGGCCCACGCCTGTTGCTTATTCTTCTAAGTTCCTCAAAGGATATCTTGGTCTTCTTCTGGAAAAGGTGGCTATATGGACAGCTCTGTGCATGGACTACATTGGGGCGGTCACCCTCCCCTTGACTGTAAGTGGTTTTTGTTGTGTCCCGGTTGATGTGCTGGTCCCAGGCGAAGGCTTATGTGCCACCCACTGCCCGTACTCGGGATGGATCGGCAAGGCCTTTGTGTTACCCCTTGCTCTCCCTTGTTGCTGCCCACTTTCTGCTCATTTAGCTTCTCGCTGACGCGTAGTTTAGAAGTGGGCAGGAAGGACAATATGGCTGAGTCCAGTGCTTTTGTGTCCCCTTTGGAAGGGATGACCTTGGAACTGAAACCATGGCAATTCACAGCCCACGGCAAACATCAGATGCTCTCTCGAGCAAGTGGCAAAGCAGGATGGCTTATGGTGCTACTCAAATAATCCTCTCTGGAAATTCCACTGGACTAACCTGGAAAAATTTGAAAGATAAGTTTGACCAGAGGAGAGATTAAAAACTGCTCAGCCAAGATGGTTTTAAGATATTTTGGAAATGTTATTTCCTTATTGCCATCTCTTATTCTTCATACTCTAACATGGCTATTTGATCTCTATTTGTACACATTTAAAATATAGAGACAGGGTGAAGAAAGTGATAAGTAATGGATATTTTTAATGGTCATTAAAAAGCACTATTCTAATAAGTAAAAATTTAAAATATGGTAAATTTGCCAAATACTTAAAAGACGCACAGTTTTCGACAAAAGAGGCAAGAATATACAATGGAGAAAAGACAATATCTTCGACAAGTGGTGTTGGGAAAGCTGGACAGCAGCATGTATATCAATGAAGTTAGAACACTCCCTCACTCCATATACAAAAATAAACTCAAAATGGCTTAAAGACTTAAACATAAGACAAGACACGATAAGCCTCCTAGAAGAAAACATAGGCAAAACATTCTCTGCCATAAGTCATAGAAATTTTCTCCTAGAGCAGTCTACCGAGGCAATAGAAATAAAAGCAAAAATAAACAAATGAGACCTAATTAAACTTATAAGCTCTTGCACAGCAAAGGAATCCATAAATAAAATGAAAATACAACCTACAGATTGGAAAAAATATTTGCAAATGATGAAACTAACGAGTGATTAATTTCCAGAATATACGAACAGCTCATACAACTCAGTAACAACAACAAAACAAACAACCCAGTCCAAAAATGGGCAGAAGACCTGAACAAACATTTCTCCAATTAAGATGAACAAATGGCCAACAGGCACATGAAAAAATGCTCAATATCGTTAATCATCAAAGAAATGCAAATTAAAACTACAATGAGGTACCACCTCACACCGTGTCAGAATGGCCATTATTAAAAAGTCCACAAACGATGAATGCTGGAGAGGGTGTGGAGAAAAGAGAACCCTCCTAAACCATTGGTGGGAATGTAGTTTGGTGCAGCCATTATGGAAAACAGTATGAAGATTCCTTAAAAAACTGAAAATAGACTTACCGTATGATCCAGCAATCCTACTCCTGGCCATATATCCAGAGGAAACTCTAATTTGAAAAGATACATGCACCCCAGTGTTCATAGCAGCACTATATACAATAGCCAAAATATGGAAGCAACCTAAATGTCCATCAACAGATGACTGGATAAAGAAGCTGTGGTATGTTTATACAATAGAATACTATGCAGCCATAGAAAAGAATAAAATAATGCCATTTGCAGCAACATGGATGGAACTAGAGACGGTCATACTAAGTCAAGTAAGCCAGAAAGAGAAAGAAAAATGCCATATGATATCACTTACACGTGGAACCTAAAACAAAACAAAACAAGAAAAAAAATTTAAAAACAAGAAACAAAACAAGGACACAAATGAACTTATTTACAAAACAGAGACAGATTCACAGACATAGATAGAAGACAAACTTATGGTTACCAGGGGGAAAAGAGAATGGGGAGGGATAAATTTGGAGTTCAGGATTTGTAGACACTAACTACTAGATATAACGTAAACAACAAGGTCCTACTGTACAGCACAGGGAAGTATATTCAATACCTTGTAATAGCCGATAATGAAAAAGATTATGAAAAGGAATATACATATGTATAACTGAATCACTATGCTGTACACCAGAAATTAATACAGCATTGTAAACCGACTATACTTAAAAAAAAAAAAGAGTGCAAAGGTGAATTTTATTACTCTTTTTTTCAGCTAATCTCTAAGTTGAAAGCTTTAAAAAAAAATGTTAGCACTATACAGAATTAAAAAGAGAAGCATGGAGCAAATATCTTTCCAGTGGCCTCAGGAACAAGAGGGCCAGTGGAGCCAACCCATTTTGTAGGGAGCAGACAGAGTGGACCATCACAAAAGCCACTCAGCAGAGTGAGTCCTTAACAGAGCCAGGTTCCTGCCAGCTCAGATTCTTAGTCTCCCTGCACAGGCTGAGAGGACCACATCCATGACACAGGTGGACAAGCTGAATCCTTGATCCTGATCAACATGGCAGCCAGGTGCAGAATCACAGAACCTCTGGCAGAAAGGGGTTGGGAGCCCACAGAACCCGGATGATGTGCTGGTATGGCCAGTGGCCCAGGGGCTCACTGACCAGTGCCACAGATAGTTTCAGAACAGGAACAAGGATTCTCACTGGCCCAAAACAGGTCAAGGAGACCAGAAGAGATTTAGATCTGAAGTTGTTTGGGAAGATTCTAGATCAAGAATCTCTGGGACCTGGCCTGGGTATCAGGCTCCAAAACCAGGGTGGAAATTCTCCAAAGGTGGAAGTTTTCATGAAGTCTTGTGTATCTGTGGACTGTGGCGGTTGCCAATGCTCCTGTGTCTTCTTTTGGAAGGAGCAGCATCAGAACCAAAGCCACAGCAATTCACAGTATACTGAGAAATCAGACACCTCCTCTAGAGGCCAGCTGCATTAATGCTCAGGCATGTGGCAAAGCCATGGGGGTCTGCAGTATTGTTCATTCATCCTCTGAAAACTGCAGGCATTGCAGCCAGGAGCCACCCAACAATCTCCTGGGATGGACAGTCAATTTTGACAACCCTGGCTTGGCAAGTCCTCACCAACGGTAATCATATATTCAAATTCATCCCTTTCTGAGTTTTTGTTTTTTCCTTTTTCTTAATTCCTTCATTCCTTTTTCTTCTATGGTTTCCCTCTGGTCCCATTAGTAAGCATGCTGTATCTGTATGTCTCGTTACTTCCAAAAGGGCCATCCACTTCAGAGAGAAGTTCCTTCAGAAGGAGAGGGCTCCCGAGGTTGTCTCCACCAACATAGACGACAGCTTCAGGCTCCCCTCTCTCCTCATAAATGAAACCCACTGAGCCTGGCTGATGCACCCCAAGTTCTTCAGGGTCTTTACGAGATCCCGGCGGAATCTCTCACCCACAAAAACGTAGAGAACAGGGTTCAGGCAGCTGTGGAAAAAGGCAATGGTTTGAGTAACCTGGAAGCAGATGTCCACATTGGTGGAGATGGCACAGCTGGAGATAAACACAGCATAGGCATCGATGGTCTGCACCAGCAGAACACAGTTGTAGGGAAACTGAGATAAGACAAAGACAGTAAGCACAGTGATAGTCACCTTCAGGGCCCTGTGCTTGGACGACTTCTTGGCTTGTATCAGAGTGTGAATGATGATGGTGTAGCAGCAAGCCATGACCACAAAGGGAAGGAAGAACCCCAGGATGACCTTCAGGGTCAAGACAGCCGACTTCAGTTTGGTACTCTCGTCACTAGGGTAGACCATGGTACAGATGGCAATGTCATGTTCGTTCTTGACTTGGCTGTACAGGAGTTCTGGGATGCAGAGAGCAGCCGCCATCACCCAGACAGTGAAACAAACCATTTTGCTGTACAGAAGCCTCTTCTGCCTCCAGGTGTGCGCTCTCATGGCCTGGGCGATGGCGATGTACCGGTCCACACTGATGCACATGATCAGTAGCACACAGCTGTAGAAGTTCATCTTGTACATGCTATTGACCACTTTGCACATGAAGGTTTCGAATTTCCACTGGTCGGCAGCAGCAATGGCCCAGAAGGGAAGGGTGACGAGAAAGAGAAGGTCAGCAATCGCCAAATTCAAGAGGAACATGTCGGTCATGGTCTTCACCCTCGTGCAGTACCAATAGACGAGGATGACCAGACTGTTGCCCAAGGCACCCACGAGGAACACCAGCCAGTACAAGGGGGGAAGGAAGTGACTTGCAAACTGCCTGACGTGGTTTTTCTTACAGAAGAGGTTGGCAAAGCTGAAGTTCCCGTAGTCATCCATGGAAGGCATGATGTCGTAGCTGTAGTCATCAGACATGTTCAGGATGAGGCTCTGCAAGGAGACACAAGATGGCGTGAGGCCAAGAGCAGGCTCTTGGAGGTCCTGTCTGATGGCAGGGGCAGGGAGCCCTTCACCCCTCCAGTCCCAAAAGTCTGTGATAAGACGGAAGAAGTGTATGTGTAGGAAGTAGGAATTCTGAGAGCACTGCTTGGCTTGTGAAAGATGTATTTATTTGACAAATGTTTACCAAGCACCTACGATATGGCAGGTATTGTGCGTGAGCTAAAGATACAGTGGGGAGTAAGTCAGATGTGGTTCCTGCTCTCATGGAACTTATTTTCTCAGGGAGGAGACACACAAGCAAGAGAATGATGGACAGGCTGTGTGACAAGTGCTATGACAGGTGGGGAAGACAGCCCCAGGACCACGGATGGGCACAAACTTTTATCAGACTAAGTGAATGATGTTGATGGTACCGCCTCCTCTCTACTCCGCCGTTCCCAAAAGATCCTCAGTGGCTCTTAAACTTTGCTGAGTCCAGATCCCCATGAGTCTTCTGAAAGCTATGCATCCTCTGAGAAGCTCCAAATAGTCACCCATGTCCCCACTTATACATGTGCACACACGTGGACACACACACGTTCATACATGCATGTACATGCACATTCACAAGCACTAGGGCAGGCTCCATGATTTCGGGCTCCCTTGTTCAAAATTTGTTAAGGATTTCAAAACAGCAGAGCATTAAATCAAGCAAGCAACACTTCTGAGCATGGGGTCCCGTGCAGCTGAACGGATCACACACCCATGAAACCAGCCCTCACAGGAACACATACACACACACACTTTTACAGACACACATGCACACAAACATGCCTGCACTAATACACCAAGTTCATTCAAGGGGACACACCAGAGCCTCCTGGTCTGAGCACCACAGAGAATGACTTCCCACGAGCTGCCCGGCTCTATCCCAGGGTCTGCATCGAGATGGCATCTGGGGGCTCCCCTGGCAGCCCACCCTCTCCACAGAGAGGGATCCTCCAAGCGCCTGTCCACAGAGTTCTGTGCCCCACTCACCAAGACCCAGCCTAGACACTTACTTGGCATGTAAACACAAAGGAGATGTGAAGAGAGTCTGTCATATCTCCTGAAGAACAGCTGAGGGTTTTCCTTACTCGTGAACCATATGAATTTTGTGACTGATCAGGGTTCCCTCTTTAATCAGGAGGCTCAGTCAAACTGGTAGCCCCATCATAGTAACCAAACAAGACCCTCTCGACGAGCGCCATCCAGTAGGAATATAAAGTGAACCCCCAGTAGCGTTTGCATTTTCTAGTCGCCACATGAAAGAAGGAAAAGAAACAGGTGACATTCACCTTGGTAATGTATTTTACTGAACCCTAGTATGTCTAAAATATTTCATTGTGTAAGCAGTATAAAAGTTACCGAGATACTCTGCATCCTTTTGGGGTGTAGAATGAATGCGTTTTACACTCACAGGGCATCTTGGTTTGAGTGGCCTCGTTTCACGTGCTCAAGGGCCCCACGTGGCTCATGGCTACCTCGTCAGACAGTACAGCTTTAGGCTGAAAACCGAAGTTCTAACGCCTCTCGATCTTTTCTCCCTATCCTGTCAGTTTCCTCTGACCCTGTTTTGTGTCTGTCCCTTTTTTTTCTTTCTGTCCTGTTGTACACACCCAGTGAAGTGCCTCGAGCCTGTACTGGGACATCAGGTAGGTGGGGTGGCCAGAGTGAGACGGGGCGTGGTTATTGCTGGAAGTGCCAGGCCCTGCTGTCTGACAGGGCTGACCAGTCTCCTCCACATCTTGTTAGAAGATCTAGAAGTTCTCTTATCTGAGGTTTCTCTTGCTGCCTTTCTTAGCAAACTCTGTTGTTCTCAGACCCTCTTAAAATGTGACGTCTGTGCCTACTAGACCACTGTTCGCAGCCCGTTGTCCCCAGTGAGCAGAGGTCTGACCCAGTTCATCTACTGTGAGGAGTGGTGATTGGCTGGGGTGGTGGGACCCAGACCTGGCCAGGATGGGGCTTGTGTGAAAATGTGACCGTCTCCTCCCTGTTCAGCTGAGTAAATGGCCTGCTTGTCCGCAGCTTGAGAAACAGCCTTCACTTACAATAGATAATATGATTTGTTCACTCAATCAACAAGTTATTACTGAGCACGGACCTCATGCCAGGCAAGGAAACCACTTCCAAAAGGACACCATTCATGGTGATAATGGAAATAGAAATGTAGCAAAACACGAGGAAGGCCCACGGCACCCGAGCCAGGCCCACAGGTGGGACCCGGATGGGTGGCTGGGGAAGAGGTCTGCCTGCTTGCAGAACCCTGACGGCGGCCCCACAAGCTCAGAGGTGCCCTAGACAGGGCAGCGTTGTGGGACGGCTGTGTTACTGCCAAGGGGCCACTTAATTTGGAGATTTGTATCATTTATTTTGGATGCATTTTGATCAAGAAAAAAAATGCACTTAAAAAAAATGTCATAGATCTAAGTAAATCAGAGAGAATGTGTAACAGAGTACCAAGCAGCTGGCTCGGAACTCAGCAACGTGGGCAGCCCTCTCCTCTCGCAGTGGCTTTTGCTTCTGCTCTGGAAAAACTTTTGAAAGCTCCACAGGTTTTAGAATGATTTTAAGATCTTAGAGAGGAGGAGACAGACCCAAGAAGTGGAAGACTCTGCCCAAAGCCCTTAGCCACTGGGCGAGGGTCAAGGCCAGAGCCAGCCCCCCGAGCCCCTCGGTCCCAAGCTGGGGCACTTTTAATTCTTCCCGACCAAAGCCCTGCTGCACGTTCTGAGGTTGTCAGAGCGGCCATGCCAAACCTGAGCTGTGGTGTCTGGGCCCTCGACGCCTGAGCTGAGCCTCACAGAGCCCAGCCAGAGTGACTGTCAAGGTACCCGCCTCCACCTTCACACCACCCCCGAAAGACTGTGGGCACCAGAGGATGCCCTGTGGCTTCCTCTGCCCAGAGCATCCGGGAGCTGCCTTTTGCTGGGGGCAAACCTCAGTGCACAGCCAGGGCAAGGGGCCTGTGCTGCCTGCCTGGGTCCCCAGTAAGGCTCCAACCCACAGGCCCCGGCTCCCGTGCCCGGGCAAGTGTGTCCTCCTCCCCTCAGGAGCCTTGGCCCAGAAGCAGCAGCCCAGGCAGTGAAGGTGGTGCAGGTCTTTGAGCAGGAAGATCTCCAGAGCTTTCCGAGGCCTCCCTCACCAACTCATGTTGTCTCTGGAAACCCTCCTACAGCTCCAGGCCCCTCGTTCCTAGCTCTGGGGAGAGGCCAGGGCAGAGGGCAAAGGCTGTGTCCCCCATCGCTCCCTAGGACCAAGGTAAGCCCCTGGGGGAGGGGATATGGAGGAAGGGGAAAGGGGCATTTTGGGGGGATGTGGGCGGCTGTGAGTGGTGGAAGTGGGCAGGCATCCGCGCCAGGGCCCTGTCCTCACTCTTGAGGACGTAAGACTTCCGAACCGTGAGACTTAGACCTTAGCGTGTGGACATTTACCCATAGGGAGGAAGCCATTGAAGCCATGAGAATGCTGACAGCGCCTCCAGGGCTCCTCCCCTGATTAGTGAGACCCTGAGCCCTCCGTCCCCTCTCCCAGCCTCAGTTTTGTCATCTGTAAGCAGGGCTCAGCCTCCACTGTGAGGCTGAAGGAATGTGGCATCCTGGGTGGTGACTGGCACAGGGCCCGTTCTCGGAAAAGTGACCACAGGGACATCATGCGACTTGCCATCGTCACACCTACTGAGGGCCCATCTTGTCCACATTTAGGTGGTGCTTGACCACCTAAAAGGTCATTTGACCTTGACCACAAAAGGTCATTTTTGGAGTGCATTTTTCTTCCTCTCTGGGGTTGCCTTGTAGAGTTTTGATATTTTCCAAGATCTCAGATGATAAAACTGAACGACTGACAGCATGACCCCTGGCTCTGCCACCCCAACGCAGCTCTGTTTCCAACATCAGGGATGCAGAGCAAACCCTAACTCAGAAATGGAGAGTCTAATTCTGGTCAGGAAAATAGAGACTCACCTCATTACTTCACCAGGTCCAAGTTAATTGTCTTTTTGTTGCAGGATATGAGTGACATATGTGATCCTAAAAGCATTAGCATAGGATAGGTGGCAACTCGGTGGCAACTGCCACTCTCCACAGACTGTGGACCCTCCAGTGTGCTGTGAAGTGTGTTCGCTCCATTAAGAAGGCTTATTTCAATTACCTGCATGTAAAGCCCAGATTCTCCCTTCAAGAAAAGCAAAATTAAACCCCTTAGATATTTTTGTGAGCATTTATGAATGTAACAAAAGCATAGGAATTGGATTTGATTCTATAATTCATATATATATTTGACTGTAAAATCACAAATGATTCTCTGGATGACGACTGTCCTCACTAATTTTTGTTAGCCTCTTTGTCTCTTTCAAAGAAACAGTTACCATTATGTGTTTTTTGTGAAGGCCATGTAATGTTACGTGAGAAATGCAACCTTGAGTCCAGCGTGGGTCTTTTAAAAACAACTTAAATGGATTCTCTCTTGCCCTCTTCTGAGTTTCAGAAGTGACACAAGGAATTAAGCACATCCTAAAAATCCTAAAACCCTCCCCTGTTCATAAAATCTAAAACAGCATTTTTCTCTGTCCTCCCCACGTACCCCAAAGCTCTTCTGGCTCTTCTTATTTGCAGAGCCCTCTGTGCTGGGCTTCAACCACCAGTACAGGGCACTGCTCAGCAGAGCTCTTACCCTGGGAAACCAAAGAGAAATTCTTCCCCCACAGTGGGTTCCTTCCCACTCCCCAAAAAGAGGCAAGACGAGAGTGCATTTGAGGAGCCTGAGGGGCATGGCTGTACTTACTGTGGCTTCGGTGGGGACCATGGTGGGTCAGATGCAAACCTGATTCTAAAAAGAGAAAGCAAAAATCAAAAAGAGGACTGGCTCTTAACTGAACAGTAGCAGGTACCTAAAGATGGAGGTTAAGCATTATATCTGTTTCTCCTCATGTTAAAAAAGAAATCCCAAGCAGGAGTTAGGGTCCATGTTATACTGATGTCAAGTCAGATAGACCTCAAGTCAAGTCTCGATTTCAAAGTCATCCGGTTGTTAACCTAAAAATGAAAGAAACCTCTCCTTTGGGAGCCCTTTGGGTCTTTGACATCTTCCCAACACAACCTTTTCACCTTAGCTCGTTTTCTCTTGACTCAAGTTGCTATTAGGTGTACCCCATCCCCATTTTATCCACCAAGAGTCTCCTAAGGCTCACAGGACAGCAGTGACTTAAGGATGCTCTGGGCTGACTCTGCAGGGGAGGGGCCTCTGGGTAACCAGGTGGCAAGAACATAAAGGGGAGGTGGTGTCTGCCAGCATCAGAGTCCCTCTCTGGGAGGGGCCCAGCACCCCAGCACCTACCTAAGTGCTCCACTTACAAACTCAGGCAGGAAAATAGGCCTATTTAACCCTTACCCTGACTCCAGCAGGAAAAGGAAGTCCTAGGTTTGTTTACCAAAGAAAAGGTAGTTCTCTACGCAAAGGGCGTTTAAACTAACTGAGAGAAATCTCGGCTGTTGTTTTCCTGTGTTCTGAGTCTCTGCAAAACCAGCCCCGTGTAACCAAGCCAACAACAGCTTGGCTCCTTTCAGGGAACGGGCCTGTAACTGAGTGGGGCGTCTCCTTTTACACCTTCAATGAGTATATTTTAAATGAACACATCCAGCCCACACCCCAAGTTTCTGGAAGGAAATATTTTCCTTCACAAATCCAACCCTAACCTGTTGGGTTTTTTTCCCCAAGTAACACAACATTGTGACTCTCTCTGCTTTTCTATAAGTGCAGGGGGCTTTTAATATATAATGTGTGAGACAACCACTTTGGAAAACCATTAAGCATGCTCACCCTGGGACCTAAACATCCCTCTCCTAAGTGTTCACCTAGGGAAAATGCAAGCTCACACCCACACAAAGACTGATACACGAACGTTCATGGCGGCTCTGTTTATAACAACCCACCACTGGAAACAACCCAGATGTCCATCAAGTATAGTGAATGGGTAAGTCACTGTGGAACAACAGAATAGGAAAAAGCAACCAATACACACAGCAACTTGGATGAATCTCAAGATAATTTAAGTAAAGTGCTAAGAAGCCAGCCCCAGGGGAGGGTATAGCTCAGTGGTAGAATGCATGCCTAGCATGCACAAAGTCCTGGGTCCAATCCCTAGTACCTCCATTAAAAATTAATTTTTTTTAAAAAACCTAATTACCCCCCCAAAAATCTTTTAAAAAATATAAAAAGATAGGTTTAAAAAAAAAAAAGAAGCCAGACCCCCCCAAAAATACATACTGTGGGATTCCACTTATATTAAAATTCTAGAAAATGCAAACTAATCAATAGTGACAGAAAGCAGATCAGTGATTTCCTGGAAAGAGAGGGAAGGGCAGGGCTGGGCAAGAGGGCAGGAGGGACACAGAAGCATGACAGGAAACGTTGGGGTGATAAATACATTCTCTAGGTTGGTTGTGTGATGGTTTCACAGGTGTATATATATATGTCAGAACTTATATTCTGCACTTTAAATATGCACAGTGTGTCGTAGTTGAACCTCAAAATACCAGGTAAAGTGAAGAACGGAAAAATAGCAAGATCTGATGAAAACTTTCTGGTTTTCTTCACTCTTCAGAGTCACATCTGGCCATTAGCAGGCAAGGAGAAGGGCAGTCAGAACTTCGTACCTGCAGCCTTCCTGTTCTGTGGGAATTGAGGGCTCCATATGAGCTCACGTCTTTCAGGGCTAGATGAGATTAGACAGATAGATGGATGGATGGATAGATTGGTTGATTGATTTGTGTGACAGGTGTTACGTATTTGTTTCACGTATGTATTTCCTGGCTCTGTCTGCTGAGAGGACCTGAAAACAATGACACACAGTAGAATAATGATCTAGTGCTCAGATCGTGGTTTCCAAATTCCTTTCTCCTCACCAAGGAACCAGGACTCCTTGGAGAAATGTCTGGTTGCAAAGCTAGGGCCAGGAAGACTACAAGGTGAACCTGGGACTGCTTTTTGCCCCAGAAAGCAAGTGCTCAAAGGACAGTGAGGACTTGTCAAAAGGACACAAGTGCCAACTTGATGGGGCTGTACTCGCCAAATCTACGGCAATTTGAGCATCAAATTAAATAATGATAGCAATAATCATAGCACATTCAGTTAAATGAGGATCCAAGAATCCAGGCTGATAAAAATAAGTAAGTAAATAAATGAGAAGAGTAAGCTCTTCTTATATGGTGCCAACTAATAAATATAGAAGAAATAATGTAATTAGAAAATCACCAGTGGATGCTGAAATTAGTGGGAGAATGTATGGTGAAATCAGTTATTTACCTCATCTCAAAGGATCTTCCCCCAAATTACATATTGCTCCACTGACTTTATCATTCTCTCATTTTTTTCCCTGAATTGTGCTCTTAAAAAAATAAAATCTTTGTAAAAATTGTCCAGTTAAGTTTGGAAGAGCCTAGCTCAGCTAATTTAATGTCAGTACAGCTTGGGGAACGGGGAGAATGGTTGTTGAGACATTCGTTAGACACTTCATCTATTTCTAGTACCCTTGGTTACATCACCTCCTCTTAGCTTGCACGAAGAGACTGAATATTAGAGTGATAATATCTGTGAAAGCAAATTCCCAAAGAAGGAAGCCAGCATGAAGAAGGAGGAATGGCTTTGGTTATGGTTATAGCTAGTTATGGGTTGAAAATTAGGATTGATGTTAATGATGTTGGTAAGATGTTGGGAGAAAGGCTGGCACCCGGCAGTGGGGAGTGTAAATCTGGGTGATTTTGGGGGGAAGGTTAAGCCATTTCTGTGAAAATGTACAAGGCGCAACAGCTTTGACTCAGCAGTTTCTCTGCTGGGAACACACCCTACTAGTGATCTCCTAGAAGAACCTAAAGATACAGACACAGGCATGTGTGTGGCCGCAGTCTTTTGCAGAACAGCAACAGCAACAACAAAATAGAAACAACCTTCGTATCCAGCAATAAGTAATATTCTGATACATCTATTCAGTAAGCCACATGTAGCCAATAAATAAAATAGACCTCACACTGATACAAGGAGGTCACCAAGATTACTAGGTAAAGTACAAGATGTAGAAGACTATGCTGTGTAATCTTCTAAAAGTACAAAAAATAGATATAAAAGGTTATACACTTCATGGCTGATCAGTACTGAAACGTTTTCTAGAAGGAAACTGAGCAAGGATGACCAGTGGAAAGTGAGACTTTCATTTTTTTTTCTTTAGGTTTTGTAAACTATTTCAATATTTGGCTTTGGGCATGAAATTTTATTTTAAGAGCTCTCATAAAAATAACTTGTCAGCTTGAAAAAAAGAAAAAGCAGCCTCATTGCTCTTCCGTCTTGTACACCTGTTTGCAAAACTGGTCCAAAGGAGGAACTCGCAGCCTACGCCGCTGGCCAGGAAAGCAGCTAGCACTGAAAGGGCAAGTCTACAAGTCCATTCGCTGAGGCTTCCTTTTGCAACTTTGAAATCCTACCCTGTCTTTTTATAAAGGTTTCTCTTCCTTCCATTATAAGTGTGTTTCTGGCTCCTAGAAGATTGGGAGAGAGCCCAAGGGTAAAAACAGAAACGGAATGTATTCCTCCCTAGACCCACCGTCTAAAGACACCGCCGACAGCTTTTTTCATCTATTCCTCTCTGCTCTTTATCAGAATACTCTTCGTCTATTTTATTCCACCAACTGCAAAGTCTCAGAGCTGGCTTTCATTTTCTTCTGGCCCCTGAGAAGGAGAGAAAAACAGAGGGGGAAAACCCATGTGCGACAAAATACACCGAAAGCAAGGAACCTCTCAACCATCTATTGGGAGAACGCGGGCGTTGGACTCAGCGCTGCCCCAAATCTCTCCCCTCACCGCTCGCTGCTCGGTGTGGCCTCATTCCAGGTGCTGCAGCCGCCTGATCTGAAAAGCCTGCGGTATTTTGCAGCCCGGTGGAGTGAGGTGGAGGAAGCACAGCGGCCCCCATCTGCTCCTTGGTCCATCCTTTGCTGCCTGTGGATCCTCAGCAAGGAGTGACCTGCCCTCCCCAAGCTTTGATTTCTTCGTCTGTAAAATGGAGGTGATAGCCCAGCCTATCCAAGGATTGTCTCCAGGGTCAAGTCCAGTGCTGTGCATGAATGCTCTTAGAGGAACGGAGATTGCTCTGCAACAACTAGGGAGCAGCCTTCATCCCATAGCTCACTTATGCAACATGCCTTGACACCAGATCCACCTGTTTCACTTAAACACTGTACAAGACATGATCTGTGTCCTCAAGAAGCTCATATTCAAGTACAATGGATATGTCATGGCCACAGATACCAACAATGGAAAATGCTATGAGACGCTTTGGGAATTGGGAGAAGGAAGTCATATCTCCAGCTCTGGGGAAAAACCTAGGTGGGCTTCATTGAGGAGGTGACATTTTTTTTATTGGCCCTTGCAGGCTAGAGAGCATGGGAACATGCAATGAGGGGAGAGAACATAGCTCTAGGATAGAGAAGCATAAAACATATCCACAAAGGCATGATCACCAGAAAATACCAGGTATGTGCAGTGTCCTTGGAGGTAGAGAGCGGCTGAGTCTGTAAGAGTACAAAGTGCCTATTAGAAAAGTCAGCCTGGAATCCATTCATCTCTAACCACTCTTTCTATTCTCTGCTGTCACTTAATAACCAACATGAAAATCAGCACGGAGTTGCTCGTAGTAGCCTCCATGAATTGGATACTGATACTAAAGCGAGTCTAGGATGCAGGTCCTGATTTTGACCTTTGCCCAACTTGCTATATGGAGGTTGAATCACCTCTTGTGTTTTTGTTTTTGTTTTGTAGCTCTGTTTTTTTCACCTTGCCAGAAAGCGGGGACTGTGAGCTGTCAGGCTGTCTTCTCCCCAGCCTGGGCCAGGTGCCCACCCCTCGCTGGGTAGGCACCATGCTGGACCCCATGCTCCCAGTGAAGTCTGGGAGTGGGGTGCACACTAGGGGCTTCAGAACAGATGGGCAGATATTGGAAGAAAGAGGCTGTCAAACTCCAGGTGCTGAAATGGCAGAGGAACTTGGTTTGTTGGGTGAGGGGAGGGAGGAGACGGGCCTCACCCACTGGTGGCCGCTCCACATCCCAGCTCTGCACCCTGCAGCCGCTTCCCCGCATCCCTGGAGCAACAGGCAACTAAGAACTCAAGAGGGTGTGTCTGAGGGGACAAAACAGTGTTCACTGATGAGTCACTCAAAATGGAGTGGCTTTGCTATTTCCTGATTATAAAGGAGTATTTTCACAATGTACCCAAAAAAAAATCCGCCCAAAAGCAAACATAGATAATGGAGAAAATTTAAACACCTCAAACACCCCTTTCCTAGGATAGCCATTGTTAATTTTCTGAAATGCACCCTTTTAGACTTTTTCTCTGTAACACAGTCACACACACACGTACACACACTCTGAAAGGTATGGAAATTGGACTACACAAACCATTTTATACCTTGCTTTCTAGTTAACAGTCTTTCATGGACCACTTCTAATGCCAGTTCAGTGTGAGGCTATGTCACCAGATTGGGTGGCTACCCAGGGTTCCTCTGTCTGGAGTCACTACAATTCATTTAACCAGTCGCCTCTTGGTGCAAGTTTGCTCGTTTACAGTTTTTCATAAAGAACGCTGCCAAAAACACACTTCCTATGGGACAGTCTCTCAGATCCAGGAACCTCATGGAGGTGTCACTTTCCCCACCCTGGCCGCCTTGTTGTCACCTGTCCCCAACTCCTGCTTCTCTCTCCTTTAAGATACAAAGCACGGACAGACTGCCTTGAACCTGAGCTTCACACATGTGGGTGGGAGACAGTCTCACTACTCACCCTAGACGCCCAGGCAGGGCGCCACCTGATTCACCTCTGCCTCCCTGGGCTTCTAGCCGTGGGCCTGGCGCTCACGGCCACTGAGCAAACAAGTGAAAGCCTGGGGTTTAGAAGCCTCTGTGGCAGCACACAACCTAGAACGTAGGTGGCACTGGGACGGGGAGGAGGAGGCAGGGCAGTACTCACGGCAGAAGGCAAGGTGTGAGGCTCCTGGAGAAGGTGGCCCCACTGGCTCCGTGTCTGGGGAGAGGGCGGGTTGCTCTCTGCCTGGGATGAGGGGCAGGCCTTCTGTGAGCTTTGAGCAGGCTGCTGCTACCCGACGAAAACACCAGAAAGGAAGCCAAGCCACCCCTGCCTGTGTTGTCGCTGGGGAGGGTGGGGGTGGCCCAGGAGGGTGGGGAATGGGGAGTCACCAGCTGCAGCTTCCCGCAATCAGCAGAGTCGGTGACCTGCAACCAGAAATGAAAAGCCAAGAACGGCTGGGCTAAAGGAAGACTGAGCAACTGAGAACAGTATCTTGTCCTAGACAGCACAGCCGCTTTCAGGGAATGGGGAGACAGAGTCCCATCGCGAGAGGTCAGCCTCATCAGGCTTGCTAAAGGGTGTACCTTTAAGGTCTCTGGGTGGTTTTGTCCGAACAGGCCAGTATGGGGTTATCCCCCCCAAGCACTGTCCGTCACAGTGTAACCCTTTCTGGCCTTGACAGATATACCTAAACCCATGCAGCTGTGCTGTCTGACACAGTAGCTACTAGCCACATGCCTGTTTAAAATTAAATTAATTAAAATATGACTAGTCCCTCAGTCACAGTAGCCAAGTTTCAAGTGCTTGACAGCCACACGTAGCTGTGGCTGCTGTAGCAGACAACACAGATACAGGGCAGGCCCCTCATCTCAGAAAGTGCTACTTACTGAATGGCGCTACGGTTAGAAAGTCACGTATGTGACGTGTCTGAGAACACAGGGAGTGCTGGAGAGCCACAGCCACCTTAAAACTGGGGTCAAATACAGTAAAATTTTATTTTGACGTGACCACTCTCTGTCAGACACATTAGCGTCCATAATGCATTTCATCTTATTTATCATAGGTGTTTAGATGAAATCTGAAAATGCCTAAATATGCAAATGTTGTATTTTTAATGAAGTCACAGATGAAGTCTTCACTGGCCACGCCTGAGGTGGGGCCTTTGGTCACGACACAGCTGCACCCCTCTGGTCCCAGGGCCGAGTGCTGTGCCTGGCAGTTGAGGGGCGTTTAGGGAATCCCTGGAATAGAAGCCGCAGGCCACAGCCTGTGCTGTCCATACAGAGAAGGACCCCAGTGGATTCCTTGTTGTCATTGTGGCAAGGACCTCTTCTTCATATTGGTTCTGAGGAAAACTCAGCTGCACTCCAGTGGAGACTGATTTCGTCTTTTCAGTGTACTTGCCACCCTGGAGCCTCAGCGGTGCCCTCCAGCAGTGGCCCTCCAGCGCACTTGGCCCATCAATCCCCATTGATCGCTACAGAACAAAGCAGTGCACAAGATGCAACTGAATGTATTATCTAAATAGAAAGGTCAACAAAAGGTACAGCCCATGAGCAGTAAGAATGAAAGCAGTGGTTGATTCAACAGCCTTGAGGGAGCTGGGAATTCCCTCACCTCCTCCACAGTCACTGAGCATCGTGTCTAAAACAGGGCATGACTGACAATCAGCCAGATGCTCTGGCCTTTCACTTCTTCCTCTGAATTGGCGAATAATGACAGAAGGAAGGGGCAACAGAGGGACGAAAATTCTCCCTTCACTGATTCTGAGTGTTTCAAGCAGAGGGAGCGGTGAAACTGCTTCTCCTTTACGTTTGATTGGGATCTGGGAAGGCTTTCAGGAGGCTGAGACACGCACTGCAGGTGCAGGAGCCCTGGGTGAAGATGGTGCTGTGCTTTCTACCTCTTCTTGACTCAAGCTGCTTCTTCACCAGGTACGGGCATCCCCAGTAGACACTGCTTGCCCACCCGATGGCTGGTGAGGCTGCTGGAAGGAAGGGAATTGGGGGAGGCGGTCAGGGAAGCAGAGAAGGAGTAAATGCGCCGTTGTGGGGAGATTCGCTCTTCCGTGTGCCCCTCTGCACCGTGGTCCAGGAGAGGTAGGGGCGCTTAGCATCAAGTTCTGGAAGAGCTGCTATAGAGCTCCCAGGTCCCCTCGCCTGGGATGGAGAGAGGCGGCGTGAGGCTGAGGAGGCAGGCAGATGCAAGGAGGTAGGAGAGAGAACTTCTGATTTCTCCAGGGAGCTAGGACAAGTGAGATTCTTTTTTGCTGTCATCCAGTTTGGGTTCATTCCTTGGAGGGAACACCCCAATCTTTTGTGTTCTTTGCTGTGTCTCTCTCTCTGCAGGTGGAACTCAGAGCTGAGTGAGTGTGAGAGGTTGCCGGCTCCCTTTGGCAGTGCGTATTTCTCTCTTTGCACTCTGACCCGCCAAATATGAGTTCTAGAGGGCAGGGAGGTGGGTGCATCCTCTTGGGGGCCTGGGGCCCTCAGCTGCGCCTGGAGCTGACGGTCATTTAGAGACTCATTGTGACATGGAAGCTGTAGCCCTCACCTCTGATGTCTACCTCAGAGGACAGGCCCAGGTTGGCTCTGCCACAGGGGCCAGAGGGGGAGCTGCGCCTGGGCCTCCCTGGTGCCTTCCACATTCCGAATGCCTCTCACAGTCTCTGGCAGAGGAGAAATGAATGTCGCTTCAATCCTCTACTTTCCAGGTTCTCCACATTTGAAACTAGATTTATCATCTCGTTTTTCTCCATCCTGAGGCTTCCGCACAGACTGAGGAAGTCCTGGTGCACGAGCATGGTGGGGTCTTTGGAAGAGGACGATGCTAGGTTTCTGCTCCTCACTGATTGAGGCCTTGTCTGACCTGTGACTTCCAGATGGTCTGGAAGGGGTTAACAGTGGTTTGGTGGTGCAGGTCTGACCAGCAGGTACAAGGGGCTCCAGGAGCAAACTTCCGGAAGTGAAGTCCATAAGGACCTTCTTTACCCACTGACTCGAGGCTGGGGACCAGGGGGTCTTGGCAAGCACAGCTTGCATTCTAGGAGCTTAGTAATCATCTTCTGACGACATTGATGGAAGAAACAAACCTCAGCTAAGTCCTGGAAATCTAGAGCAGCGCCATCCCTTAGAGCTCTCTGCAATGGTGGCAACAGTCCGCATCCGCACCGCTCAGTGCACAGCTGCCAGCCGTGCTTAGCTAAGGAGCACTTAAGCTGAGGTTAGTGTGACTGAGAAACTGATTTTTCTACATTTTATTTAATTGCAGTTGATTTGCATTTAGATCTAAGTAGCTGCATAGGGCTAGTGGCCACGACAGTGCACAGGATTGGTCTAGACTGACCCACGTTTCCGCAAGTAATAGCTCTACCTTAGGAAGAGACTTAGGATGAGTGAGTCTGCGATACAGGGCAGGACCACTCTTCTCTCCTCGAGGGCAGAGGGGCTTGAAGGGGACCCCCTCCCTCCCTCCGCAGGAGGCTTAAAGTCAGTGCAGGCTTGCAAGAACATATACGGATTCTTAAAATTCCTCATGCTTTGTGGTTAGCCATTAAAACCATTAAAGTTGACAAGAAGGAGAAACTAGTCATTTTTGCTAAAATCAGTTCCCATGAAAAGCCACTGCCGGTTAGGAAGCGGCTTAGGAGGAGGCAATTGTTGGAGGCAGAGCAGTGGGGAAAAGAGTTGTCCACGCCGTGCACAGCAGGAGGGATGAAAGGGATGAGGGAGCCGTGGCCCTGGGACCCAGCGGAGCTGGCAAGTGATAGGATGTTGCAGGAGGGAGAAGCAGGGTCATTCGGAGGCTCTGGAAAGACCTGGGTGCCTTTAATAGACAGGGGATGTGAGGGTAAGTGTTGGTTTTTGGAAGATCATGATACATGTAGCATTGGATGTGATATGATGGTGTTGAAGGGACGGTATCTGGAGCCCAGAGAGGAGGTCAAGAGTTCACTGTGTGGCTGCCAAATTCTTGCAGAATGCGCATTATTTGTAAGGGAAATAAACGTCATCCACACCTCCTGAGGTTTTGCGCTTACAGCAGGTGAATCGTGAGACCAGCTGCAGGATTTGTGATTTTATTTGCCCCATCTGTTCATCATAAAAATCAGCCCCCCTGCCTTGACATGCTTCATGTCACTGGAGGATCTCACCGGAGTCCTTCATTCAACACGTATTAGCCAAGTTGTGCAGTGTGCCAGCACTAATCTCAGAGCTAGTAAAGGTGAACATGGGGTAACCATTCCCAGCAGAGGAAACAGGAGGCAGGAGGCACTTGGCATGTCCAAGGAGAAGACCGATAGGCTGGGAGACAGAGCGGTGTGAGGCAGCCAGAGAAACAGGAGGGGCCCAGGGGTGTGGGGACTTGAGGCCAGGGTCCATGGTGTCAATCTGACGCCAGATGTGATGGAAAGCTACCCGAGGGATCTACGTAGCCAATGACACCAATCTGATTTCCATCCCTAATGGATCGCAGGCTGCTGCATGGGAAAGTTCAGGGAAAACAGCAGAACCTCGTGGTTTCTCTGCAGACTCCCTCAACGTGAGCTCCCACCAGCCAGAACCAGCTCACTGGAGTCTAGCTTCCCCTTAGCTGGGCCACCGCAGGAGCCGGAACCCTCAGCTCTGCCTGCCACTGACCCTTCTCCCACTTCCGCCTTAGGGAGGCATCAGGGCAGATTCAGAGCACTTGTATTCCTCCCTCCCTCCCTCCCGACACCCCAGATAGAGGGAGAGCACCATGCTGTCAGGGGACCTTTGCAGAGTTGATGACCATTACACAGCAAGATGTGCTGACAGGCTTGAGAGAGAGAGACAGAGAAGGATTTTATTTTTACAGCAGTTTTATGTTCACAGCAGAATTGAGCAGAAGGTACAGAGAGTTCCCATATATCCCTTGTTGCTATGCCATCAATATCCCAATTTGTTGCAACTGATGAACCTATGCTGACACATCATTATCACCCAAAGTCCATAGGCTACCTTAGAGTTCACTCTTACAGTGTTATTCGGAGTAGCTCCACCGCCATAAACATCCTCTGTGCTCCACCTATTCACCCCTCCCTCCCCTCTCACCTCTGGCAACCAATCATCTTTTTACCATCTCCTTAGTTTTGCCTTTTCCAGATGTCCTGTATTTGGACTCATACAATCTGTAGCTTTTTCAGATTGGCTTCTTTCACTTTGTAACATGCATTTAAGTTTCCTCCTTGTGTTTTCATGGTTTGATAACCTTTTTTTTTTAGCACTGACTAATATTCCATTATCTAGATGAACCACAGTTTTTTTTTATCCATTCACCTGTGAGAGGACGTCTTGGCTGCTTTCAAGTTCTGGCAATTATAAATATCCTTGTGTCGGTCTCTGTGTGGACATGAGTTTTGAACTCCTTTGGGTAAATGCCAAGGAACTTGATTACTGGATTGTATGGTGAGAATATGTGTGGTCTTGTAAGAACCTGCCCAGCTGTCTTCCAAAGTAGCTGGACCATTTTCATTCCCATCAGCAATGAATGAGAGTTTCTGTTACTCCACATCCTTGCCAGCATTTGGTGTTTTGTCAGTGTCCCAGATTTGGCCGTTCTTGTAGGTGTGTGGTGGCGTCTTCTTGCTGTTTTGATTTGCATTTCCCCGATGACATAGGCTATGGGGCATATTTTCATATGATTATTTGCCATCTGTTTGTTTCTTTAGTGAGATATCTGTGAAGACCTTTGGCCCATTTTCAATCAGGTTGTTTTTTATTGGTGAGTTTTAAGTGTTCTCTGTATATTTTGGACAACTGTCCTTTATCGGGTGTGCTTTCTGCAAATACTTTCTTCCGGTTTGTGGCTTGTCTTCTCACCCTCTTGATGTTGTCTTTTGCAGAGCAGTTTTTAATTTTAATGAAGTCTAGCTCTTCAGTTCTTTCTTTCATGGATTGTGCCTTTGGTGTTATGTCTAAACAGTTGTCACCCACCCAAGGTCATCTGGGTTTTCTAGTGTTGTCTTCTGGGAGTTTTGTGGTGTACATTTAGAGCTGTGATCTATTTTGGGTTAATTTTTGTGAAGGGTGTAAGGTCTGTGTCTCGATTCATTTTTTTGCACGCAGATGTCCTGTTGTTCCAGCACCATTTGTTAAAAGGACTGTCTTTGCTCCATTGTATTTCCTTTCCTCCTTTGTCGAAGATCAACTGACTCTGTTCACGGGGGTCTATTTCTGGGCTCTCTGTTCTGTCCCATAGATCTATTTGTCTAGTCTTTCACCAGTACCACACTGTCTTGATTACTGAAAGGCTTTTTTAACTTGGGGGCTTTTGTGACCCTTAAAATCAGTCCATTACACTTTTAATACTTCTTTTCCTGTAAGAAATGTAAATAAAAAATAGACCCCTATCCCCCAGCCTCATCCTGCCCCCACTTTTCTCTACAAGGTCCACCCTCACCCTGTCCCTGACCCTACGCTGCCTTGAGACTTGATCATTTTTTCAAAAGCTTCAAATAGTTGGTGTTTTTAAAAAGTCAGAAAATTTCCACAGCATTAAAATAGCTGCATCAAAATGTCCTCAGTTTCAAAATGGCCACATCAAAACAACCACATCAAAACACCAAGTCTCTCTTATGGAGACTCAGAGAAGAGCTTCTTGGCGGGGGGCCGCTGACCTGCGGCCTCCTGTCTGACGCTTCCTCCGTAAAGTCATACGCTGGGTGCTGAGCACCCTGGTGCTCGCTAAACTTCTACCTGCTGGACGCAGGGAAGCATGAGTTAAGACCCCATCACAGGTTTTGGATTGCTCACAAGTTTCCATCTGAGAAATAACAGCCCGCTTTTCAATATTAACCACGTTTGGGGAAAAAAATGCCCCCAAAACCACCTAGAGCAGCCTTCCTCGACTGAGTCCTGCGGTCCAGAGGTCTGGGCAGGTGTCAGCAAAAGGTGAAATCCTTTGTAAAACAGGCAAAGCAGCACGGCTAAGGTTCTGAGATGTCCTGTAAGAAAGAAGCCCGCTTGCTGTTTTTCAAACTTGGAATTTGTTTTTCAGTACTTTTTATTCACTATATCTCCGGCTGTGGGAGCTGGGACCGCCGTTCTTCTCCCTTTCTCTGACATGTGCTGACGAGGCCTTTCTCCGCTGTGTTCGAGATTGCACAAGAGGGAGACAATGCTGTCTTGGCTTCTGCCTCCACCGTCTTGCATCCAGGGCGCCCTGTGGAGAGGCTGAGGGACTGGTCCCCTTCCACTCCACTGTCCTGCCGCTTGCTCTGTAATGACCCACCCTTCCGTTCTGTTGGCCTCAGCGATTTAGCTCACTTCTCTTCCTGTTTTAAGACTACTATCTACTTAATTTCTTGAACTGTCCTCCATTCCAAGGAAGATAGTGAAAGTGCAGAACAGGGCTGGGGTGACCACCATGACCTGTGTGCCCCAGGGCAAGAGACATCCCTTATCTGTAAAAAGTGGTGATAGTACCCACCTCAAACAGTTGCTATGAGGGTAAAAGGAGCTACTTTAGGGAGGAGCCAGGTGGGGCCTGGCACTTAGCACATGCTCAGTGAGCATTACCTTCTATTGAAAGGGGTCATTATGATGTTATGGTTACATCTGGGGTCTGTCCAGTTCTGCACTTACTTATAGAATGGCCTTTCCCTCAGTTTTCTCTTCTATGAAACAGGACATTACTATCTATTCCCTTGGGTTGCTCTCAGGGTTGCTGTCTGAGAGTTTGGCATTTGGGAGGTGCCAAAGCAAAAGTACTGGACCTTTTTTTGTTAAAAGATTTCATTTCTAAACACTACAGAGAAATCCAGTGACAATGCAGGAACGTCATTCAAATTTCCCAAATTATCAAGCTTGCTTCTCTATCTCATGCTGGGTTCGCTTCCTAATGAACTTTCTCCTTAATGGTCCTGAAGCCTCTAAGGGCTTTCTGGGGCTTTCTCTCCTGCTCCTGGGGGAGAATGACTCAAGACTCCTCTTGACTATGATTTCCACTCTTCTCTAGGGGAAAAGGAAATAAATGTCCTGAGCCCCTAGTTTGTGCCAAGAGCTTTCCAAACATCAACTCATCTAAATCCCTTCATAAGTCTACAAAATAGAGAGTGTGCCCTTTTTAAATATAAGGAAGCTGAGTCTTGGGGCAGCTCCCTGGCTTTCCCAAGAAGGGTGCTAAAGGCAATCAGTAAGGTATACCGGCTGGCTCTGGCTGCATACTACACCATTTCATCATTTTGTGGCTTTAAACAATTATTGTCATTTAGCACATGATTCTGTACGTTGCAGTTTAAGCTGGGCTCAGCTGGGCAGTTCGGCTGGTCTCAGGCAACCTCAGCTAACCTTGGCTGAGCCAGCTCACGTGTCCGTGGTCAGCTAACCAGTTGACTAGGGGCTGGCTGTCCTGGATGGCTGTCGCTCTCATCTCTGTGGTCTTCCCTCCTCCAGCTGGCTCTCCTGGGTTTGTCCACGTGCTGATGATAAGATTCCAAAAGAGACAGTAGAAGTACACAAGGGCTGTCAAGGTCTGGGCTCAGAACTGGCACGCCATCACTTCTGTCACATTCTGTTGGTCAGAGCAAGTCACAAGGTCAGCCCAGATTCAAGAGGTAGGGAGATAGATTCCACCTCTTGATGGGAAGAGCGGCAAAGTCCCCCTCAAAGGGGACGGCTAGAGGGAGACTGTTAATTGGGAACATCAGTGAAATTAATCTACCACCCAGGGTGGTATGATAGAGGGCGGCTGGGTCCTAGGGAAGGGAGAAGATAGGGCTACTTCAGATGAGCAGACCGGGAAGGCTTCTCTGAGGATGTGACATTTGTGCTCAGTATGAAAAGGAAGAACCATTCCAAGACACAGGAAGGAGCTTCCCCCAAGATGAAGTTATCACAAAAGATACAGTCCCCAAAGCAAAACATCCATATCTCACAGACAGACCTATTAGATAGACATCTATTAAATAAAGGGCCTAACAGCAGGCACCCAAGAGA